GTGTGTGTGTGTGTGTGTGTGTGTGTGTGTGTGTGTGAGAGAGAGAGAGAGAGAGAGAGAGAGAGAGAGAGAGAGAGAGAGAGAGAGAGGGCATCGGTCAGTCGCCTCGACTGTGAATGCATCCCCTGACAGCTGCAACAGGTCATCTAAGTGCGTTTGATCTCCGCTGAAAGCTGAATCTGAGTCTGTCATGGTCTAATAATATCCCCGATCCCGATCCAGTTCCTCTTCAGTTCTAGCTCAGCCGCCTGACAGTTGTCTGTAGTGATATGTAGTTATGCATCTCTTTGCAAGCTCGTGGAGGTTCGCATTCTATTGCCGTCGTGTTGTTTTATGACTCATCCTTACTCTCTGTATGTCCTCAATTTTCAGGTTGTGTCAACTCGTTTCACTCTGTTATTGTTCTCGTCTCCACTGAAATCTGGTGCTGAGTCCAGCAAGATCACTGATATGCACCCTCTTTCAGTGTACCCAATCCCACTCACAATTGCCTGTAATTATGAACGTCTCCCTGTCATGAAAAGTGTGCAATGACTCTGTGTCCTAGACTTTGGAGCCGCTGCTATTGTCCTTCCAGGGAACAGGGACAGAATTTAAGCGTATGGTGTAAACAGAAATGCAGGCACATTGGAAGGTGGTGCTATGGAAAATGGGCAAGCACCTGCATGTAATACTCTGCGTGTGTTTGTGGTCCACAACTGTTGCAATTGACTAATCAGTGCTCAAGAGTTCTGTTTTAGAGCTTGATAGAAACGTGACAATACATGGAGATCCGCTGAGAGCTGTTCTCCCATGTTATTGCTGCCATACCACATACCCGTGTCAGAGTATTTATCTGTTGCTTGCTTCTCCTCTTGATATGCGCTGCATTGCCAAGCAATCGCTCACCGTTCTGCCGGCCTCGGTGGTTTCAGCGTTGAGCTTCCTTGCAGCGCATTTCCATTGCCATCACCTCTGCTACTGCTTTGGGACTGTTCTGTAAATGTCGAGAACACTATCACAAGCACACTGATGATGAGGCTGACATGAAAGCGTCCATCGGGGGATCAAGCAGACTGTGCTGGACAATTTCCCGATGTCCTCTGCTGGTTACATTGCAGTGTTTTCAACCTTCCAGACAGTAACTGACCTTGATCTTGTGCGTGTTCGTTTTTTTCCTGTGACTTCCCAACGGTCGTCGTCCATGGATTTTCTCATACTCTGCCTTGTTCGTCGCTCTGTTGATGTCGTTCCAAGGATGCTTTCTGTACCCCAACTATCGCCTCTGTTCGACCTGGTTCCATTGATTGTTGAAGTGACAAACTTGAGTGCGATCCGAGTGGTCCTTGCATATCGATTGTCTGGGTATAGTCCCTCCTGATAAGCTATTCTGCTATCTTGAACAAGCCTGTGGTCCTACATACAACTGCACAATTATACTGCTTGCTCCAGTCTGTTTGATAACTGATGCCCTTCCTTCGTTTACTGATTGATCTTTCCCCTCCTCTCCACCATCGGCCTGCAGGTATGAGCATTGTTTTCAAACACAGCTGCCTATAGGCCGATCCCGCTATAACCACGTGTGTGGTAGCCTTGCAGGTACCAACATAAACTTCCTTGGAATTGACTCCTCACTCTATTTTCTGTCAGTTTCTGACGGCCATGGGCATCATTTTTTTCTGTGGCGTCTTTTTCATCTTCGGTGTCCAATTTCAATTCTCTAACTTTCTGGACTCGACAGCATCTTGATGTTGTTGATCAGTCTTCTCTTTGTGATTCGTTTCCCTCTACGAACTCCAAGGTCTCTCTGTATGTTTTTCTTAGTTACTCTGTCACCTGCAGTAAACTTCAAATCGTTTCGACGCTATCTATGTTTGTTCAGTAAATGTAAGTGAAGTTTGACATCTCTCTCTCTCCAAGATCTCAAAAGTGGTTTGTAGTTACTTACCTTCGCAACTAAAAAGATAAGCATACCTGGGATGTTGATGTAATCAGATTGAATGCTGAACATGCCTACTGTGGGCCTGTTTGTGGTTATCAGAGATGGTCTGAAATTATCAATCAAGCAAGAACGAGTGTGGATTTTTTGAAGTCGCCAGAGGTTGTTCGAGCAATTTTGAATATTCTTCAGGTAATTTGTCTCCGGAAGCCCTTCGATTATCCTCATTGGCGAAGCAACTATTTGGTTATGGTGCGCCATGTGTAAGAGAACACACGAAGTGCTGCGCCGTTGTCGACATATTCTCTGGTCGTTGGTCACGGCTCTCTCTGGCCAGCTGAAAGAAACCAGTTTTCTGGTGACCAACCTTCAACGTGCTGATGTGGCATGGTTAAGATGTTATGAGATGGAATGAGAATGTGGCAGGGAAGCCAACTGCCTCAGGGGTGATGTGGCAAACAGGAAATGGAAGATTTTGACCCTTGTACAAGAGATTGCATGGGAAGATGTTGGATGGGCTCCACGTTTGTACACCAATCCCCCCGCAAATAATTACCTGGTTCAGAGGATCACGTGTTAGTGTGGCCATGGACGTGTTAGAGTCCAGATTGTCCAGTTCGAGTGCGGTCACCTAAGGTGTGATAAGACGAGAGAGTTGGGCCGCTCAGAGATGTACAGACTATTATCTGCCACGTCGGATTCCGCAACTCACATTCTTGTGTGAGAAGGGAGTGCTGTCATGGATTCATGTTAACTCCGATTTCTGTCTGGTTGTTTGACTTCTGTGTTGCAGACGAATACCAGTGCGGCAAGCTCATTAGGGCAACCCTTCCTCTCACAGCTTAGTCTCATCTATCTGGACATGCTCAATGTATACAGGTAAGGTTTCTAGCTTGGGGTCCTGCTCCGTACGTGTGTGGAGTATTTGTGGATTCTTCTAACTTGTAGAACATCTACCTTTTCTATCGTCTGTCGTTCAAACCAATTTACCGCCACACTGAGTCATCACAACAGATATGTCACGAGTGTTTTACAGGAATATACAAGGTTGCATCCTCCATGACAGAGACTGATTGTTGACGAGGAGACAAATGTAGGTATGGCAGACAAAATAACAGAGGGAGAGAATGAAGGAGAGGAGGAGAAGCGAAAGGAGAGGAGGAGAGGCGAAAGGAGAGGTGGAGAACAGAAGGATGTAGGAACATGGAGGGTAGAGAAGGGGAGCCCGATATGTCGGAGTCGACAATGCATTCGTTGCGAAAACCAAGTTGTAACTCGTACCTGCTGGTGCTTTCCGTTCGTATGTGTGCAGGATGTACAGCGAGCTGATCAGCTCAACCATTGCGGAAGGTGGGCCTTATGCATCAAGAAGTTCTTTTGTCAAATTGCTTAGGTGAGTCAAAAGAGCGTCATGGTTCCATGTACATATAGTCTGTGGATCATATCCACTTAGTTGAATTGAAAGAATGGTGAAAAAAAATGTGGAGGTGATTGATGACAGCTGTGGCCATGGAAATTGTATCTTCCTAGATGCAGCTGGGCCTTGGTTTGGGGGAATGATGTGGAATGACATGTCACGAGTGGACTCGCTTTGCCCATACTGAAGTGGGCCAGTCTGGAAGTACGCTGTTTCATAGTTTACACAACTGGATAGGGAGGCTGCTCCTTGATGAACGAAAACTCTGCTCGGACTTCTCATTTTTTGAACTCTGAAAACTGAACATGTCCTTCAGGACACGTGTTAAATTGGAATGATACAGAGAAGATTTGCATGGACGCTCCACACAAATCAAGCCATCGTCCAAATTTTTAGCAAGGATTAACAAATTGAGAACTCTTTCTTGATTCTACGGGTGGTGGTGTGGGTGATGTAGAGTATGTCATTTTGTGCTTGTTCCCCTTTTTGGGATCGTTCCAGCTATTCTATGCCTTTCAGGTTGTTTTGCAGAGTAAAAATAGAGTTCATTTCAACAAATCTGTCTTGTGAAAATCTGTGAGATTGGCTAAGGACGAGGTCTGATAAACTATCCATGCATCTATTTAATGGAAGTGTACTGGTGCAGAGTATGGGCCATCGATTCTCTGCCTTAGAGACCAGCTTTCAATTGTCCTGTGCAGAGTCTGTCTCATCTACTCTGCCTTAGGGACCGGCTTTCAATTGTCCTGTGCAGAGCCTGGCCCTTTTCAATTGTCCTGTGATGAGCATGGGCCATCTATTCTCTGCCTTAGAGACCAGCTTTCAATTATCCTGTGCAGAGCCTGGCCCATCTGTTCTCTTCCTTAGAGACCAGCTTTTATTTGTCCTGTGCAGAGCCTGGGCCATCTATTCTTTGCCTTTGAGACCAGCTTTCGATTGTCCTTTCTTCGATTCTGATACTTGTTTGCCACCCTGGTGGTGGATGGTATTGTCTGAAGTATCTATAACTTTGTGGCCAGTCAGAGTGGAACTTGCTGGTGGTGTTTTTGGTCCTTCACGTCCAAGTGCGTTGCTGCTGTATTGCCCTTTCTGTAGTTGAATTTTTCATAAGGCAGCCACACTCTTCTGTATTTGATATTGCTGAGGTTGTCTGACGAATGACTGAGGAGGCTATTGAATGTTCATGTCTTGATACAGGTCAGTGAAGAAGGAGACCTTGAGGTTGATTGAAACATTTGTTGACAAGGCAGATGATGTTGGCCTGATTGCCAAGCAGTTTGTACCTGCAATGATGGACCCAATTCTCGGGGATTATGCGAGGAATGTCGCTGATGCTCGGGAGTCGGAAGTGCTGTCTCTGTTTGCATGCATCATCAATAAGTAAGTTCAGCTGCCCCTCGCCGAGTAGTTCTACTGCTAGAAAGTTTGCTATGCCCGCACGCTTTTTCAAAGTCCAAGCTCCTATTTTGTGCTGTGGTCAATCGGACGGGGTCAAGTCCTTGTTGTAGAACCATTGAATTGGTAGAAGAATGATAAGGCAATCATGAGGACTCCTATGACCAAGGCATTCCGTTACAGGAACTCCCCCATGACTAAGGAATGGTTTCTTTTTGGGAAAATTGCATCTGTATCCCACTTAAAGATGGGAATATCAGAATATCCGCTATACCCAGTCCGAGCGCCCATGTTGCCCAAATTGCATCTGTACCCCTCCTAAAGATGGGAATACCCACTATACCCAGACCCTGTCCAACTTAAGGTAATACCACACTTGCGGCGCATACGTGAGGTGTGCTGCGTGGTGCACTGATCGCAGATGCMCGAAAAAAAAAAAAAAAAAAAAAAAAAGAAGCAACCGTGATGCGTGTATACACGTTGGAGAGAGAGAGAGAGAGAGAGAGAGAGAGGAGCCCTTTGGCCCCTTTCACATCATTCAGAAAACCCCTGCCTGCATTTCAAAAGTTCCCTACCAACTTAGCAAGGATCCCGTCAGCAGGAGAAGGATAGTCGTTGGGCTTTTAGCGAGGAGGGAGCAGGCCAGCCATATATGGTGTACCATCGAATTCATGTCCATCTTTCAGCGGTTATGGGTCAGGACTTACGAACTCGGCATGTGATTTTCAGGGCTTCAATCCACTACTCACCAAATGTGCAAAACTAGAATGAATCTTCTCCTAGAAACTAGAACAATACAAGCCAAATGTTCTTCTTTTGTGCAAGGGCTGATGGTTGGAGCGAGGCCCTTGGGGCCACTGCACGTAAGAAAAGGAAAAACAGAAAAACCAGACAGCCACTGTAGTGTTTGTTCCTAACCCACAACTCTTGGAACATAGACCTGAATCCGAATCCAGAATATATTGCTGGCCTGCTCGTGATCCTCAAGCAGTTTGATGAACGTCCTTCCAAATGCCTGGGATCCCTGCTAATTCTTTGCAGGGGACCCTTTGGAAAAGAGACTAGATCCAAAGAGGAGTGCAATGTGGCGCCAATTTTTTCTTTTCTGTGCACTTACAACTTACAAAAGGGAGGCACACATTTGATTACCACAATCTGCCCTTTTTTTTTTTTTTTTTTTTCAATCCGTAAATGTGCCGCATCATGTCCGTGCGCACGTATGCGAGTGCACTATACGGCGCACGTGCGCAACTTGCGCGCACGTGATGCGCGGCTTGTATGGGTAATACCCTACTTTTGCCATGTGCCAACTTATACATGTAACCATTCTCACTTGCCCTTGGTCGGGGAGCACAAGATTATGCGTGTGCCCAGGAACCGGACAGGCAAAATTGGGTATGCACATGGTCTGCCCGGGTATGTGCATAATTTGAGCATTCCGGCAGTTGGGTACTATAACTGCAATTTGGCAGTACGTATCTTGGCCCATCTCGGTCCTGGGCATGCAAATAATTTGCATGATGCACATACCATTTCCCGGGTACAGATGCAAGTTGGTCACCGGGACTGGGTATAGCGGCTTATTCCTATCTTTAAATGAGGCACATGCAATTTTCCCTTTCTTTTTTCGTTCTCTAATCGGTGACACTCTCCTTGATTGGAGACATGTTTGTGTCCACTATTCTCGGGGGACAAGCAAGTCTTCTGTTTCTCCTGCCAACTGTTATGGGGATCTGGATGATACTCTTTTTTTCCCTCGTTTTTCCTTCTTATTTGTTGAATGGATATAAGCTACTGAATATTTCAATTTCAGGATTTTCATTCCAGCATGCACATGTGCGGATAGGTTTGTTAACAGCTGGACTTCCGTTTTGCATGTTTTTTTTTGCAGTTTCGCTGGCTTACAGTTGCTGCTTTCCCCTCTCCTTCTGCCCCTTTCTTCCCGTCTCTGGTGTCTATGTAGGTTTGTGTGAGTATGAGTTTGCTGGTCTCGTCTCTTTGTGTGTGAGTGAGCTATATGAGATCATCTTGGTGTCAAGCCACCTCTCACGCCTCACGCTCCACCCCTCACGTGATCCTTCCGCATGTCGTGGGTGGGTGGGTGACAGTCAGTCAGTCATCGCACTTGGCAAGATGGGAAAGCCTGTTGGAATTGGTTTGGCCATGAAGCTGTGTCGGTGCTTCACTTCGCGCCTCCCTTAGGTAACATATTTATTGTGGTTGGGTTGGACACTGTTGTTTTTTTGTGAACTTACAGGCTGAAAGGAGCAATGCTAGAAGAGATTCCTCGAGTTTTTAAGGCAGTCTTTGAGTGCACGCTCGATGTAAGTATACCAACCTTGCCTTGCCTGATTTCAGACTTCTGCATGTGGGTTTTGTTAGCATAACAATCCTGCTCCTTCCCCAGTACTCTGCTTAACATATCTATCTCGGCCTGTCCCTTTTTCATCGTGCTTTCGCCCAATCCATATCATATTCAGTCACACTATTAGCTGTTTCCCAGCTCGCCAGTGGGGAGGAAGGAGGCATTCGTTGGCTTCATTGTGTTCGCGGGACCAGCAGGCTCATTCCTTTTCCACCAGCAAGTCAGAATACATAAATTGCCAAAATTGGACCATGGTCCATTTCTCGATTTATGCATGTACAGTGCCCATGCTAATCTTCTCTGTATCGTTCCAATTTTAAGGGATGTTCCGAAGGACACTGATACATACACTTCTTCCAATGGTTTTATTCAAAATTTGTTGTTATGTTTGACAATCCTGGAGTTATATTGTTCTGCGTAATAATAGACACGATTGCTATTTTAATCTTCTGGTTTTACGTTGGTTTGAGGTAGGGGTAAGATGATGGTGAAGACTACGTCCAGGAAGGAGATGAGACGATGATGATGATGATGATGATGATGATGATGAGTGGTGATGTACATGGTGTTTCTTGAGTAGGAGGTAGTATTCTCTGCACACTGCACTGCTTTTGGCTTTTTGTATGGACAAGAGGAGGAGTAGGAATATTTGGCAGCCTTGGGATGTCATAACTGGATAAAGTTTCATGTGTCTGACTACTGCTCGTGCTGATTCAGCTGGTGTTCGGTTGACATTGTTGTTGTTCTTGTCTCCAGATGATAACCAAGAACTTTGAGGACTACCCGGAGCATAGATTGAAGTTTTTCTCTTTGCTGAGAGCTATTTCTAATCACTGCTTCACTGCCCTCTTCACTCTCTCCAGCCAGGTAAGACATCGGATAAGGCTCACATTTGGACTGAAAGGGAATCGCTCCGACTTGATTCCAGGTTCGGCCTGGTTTTAGAAACGACTGTGCAAAGAATTTTAGCTCAAGCCTGCCACTGCATCCTGATATTGAAATGTTTGTGTCTGATATCAGTCTGTGGCTTGGAGACTCGTGATGGGATTGGCTTCTTCTGTACTTCACCTTGTCTTGTCTCGTTTCAAAGTCTGTGATTCGGTTGTCGTTCCTAGGAAGAGTATTCATTCTACTTGTGAATTGCCCTCTCCTGAGGTTTGCATCAAATGACATATGCACTCTCCTTTCTGTTTCAAGTTTCAACAGAGCAATCGACTCCTCTGTTTTACGATGAATATAATGTATGTTGTCCAGGGCTTTTGACATTCTGCTTTTTAATTTGGCTGGTCTGTATGCAGCAATTGAAATTGGTAATGGATTCCATCGTGTGGGCATTCCGGCATACGGAGAGAAACGTTGCGGAGACCGGTCTAAACCTCCTCCTCGAGCTCTTGAGTAACTTCCAGGTGAGGCTTTCTGCACCATTACCGTGTAGGGACAAAAGCAAGGGTCATATTGAGCCTTGGGATTAAACCGCCAGCTCAAAGCCCCAGCCTTGTAGAAAATGAACTCGTCCTCACCACTGCCTGCAAGGCCAAACCGCCATTGATGAGTTTCATCAATCGCCTTTGTCGGGTTTCCGGCCTCCAAAATTCGCCGTGAGAACATGCGGCCGATGTATGGCTGTCACAGGCTGTGTACTGGTGGTCGTTTAAGGATAGGAAGTGCCTACGAAGAATGATCTTCAATGTTCTCTAGTGCTATGATCGTCCTGTAACTCTAGAGTGCGACCGTGTCACATGTGAAGTTCTCTCTCGGTTATGAGAACCGTGAACAGCATGTCAATTGTCAATATTCCTTTATTAGAGGTCGGGGTCGGGCGGGGGGGTGGTGGGGGGTTGGGGGGGGAGAACCAATTGCATCATCTTGTAATGAAATAACTGCAAATAAGTTAAAGAAACTGCTTTATTCCACAGTCAGATCACTGGCCTTGTTATGTGTGCTTTGTCAGATTGATAATGAAAAAAACGTTTTGGATTCAACGGTGTCTATGGGTCTCGTTATCAGTGCTTTCCTGTCTGTGTGTTTGTTGTAGTGAGTTTGTGGCTTGCGGTTCTTTTGTTCTGATCTTTACTTATCTGAATTGTGAATGTTGTTGTGGTGGTGCTTTTTTGGTTTTGATTGTCCAAATGGCAGACGTCTGAATTCGCCAACCAATTCCATCAGACGTACTTCCTGATGATCGTACAGGAGATTTTTGCAGTACTGACGGATACGTTTCACAAGCCTGGGTTCAAGCTCCACACCCTCATTCTTCAACACCTCTTCTGTCTGGTGAGTAATGGTTACCTTCTCTGTTCCACTGTCTCCCAGGTCCCTCCAGCTTACTCACACTCAGTTGCATGCTCTCACTTGCATTGTGTGGGCATAGTACTGTCCGTTGAGAGCTGTCCTCTGTCCATATTCTGCAACGACAACTGTATCGAAGTATATTTGTTCTGCTACCTGTTTCTCCTCCAGATATGGGTCACATGCAAATTGATTGCTCACCCTTCTGACACCCTTCCGTTGTTCTATCATTGGGCTTCCATGTAGCGCACTTCCGTTTGGCTATTGCTTTTGGCTATTGCGTTTGGCAGACTGCTCTGCAAATGTGTACGACTCTTATCACAAGCAGGGCGATGATGAGGCTCACAATAAAGCGCCCAGCTGGTGATGAAATTGACTGTGCTGACAAGGACTCTGTGTTTTTTTGTGTGGGCATGGCGATGAACAGGCGGACTCTGAGGTGTTAACGCAACCATTGTGGGACGTCAGCGCACTAGGAATAGGGGCTTACCCGAACAATGCCGCGTTTGTAAAAGACTACACAATCAAGCTCCTAACCACATCCTTCCGCAACATGACCGCTGCTGAGGTAATAATTTGGGACCTGAAGCGACGTTAATCGCCTCCCTGTTTTCCAGTGTAAAATTTGAGACATGTTTGTTGTCTCGAGTTGTTGTCAGATGATGCTTTATCTTTACATGGCAATAGTGGAACTTTGTTTTTTTCTCTTTACAATGTTTACATGGCGATAGTGAGACTACATTGCAATGGTGGGACTATCTTCCGAGCAGGACCTGCTGCAGTGCAGAGACCATGTGCTGACGAATGTTCCTTTGCGTTTTCTGAGGAATCCAATCTTCTCAGCATTCACAATTTCCTTCTCTGGAGTGGAGGCTGTGCATGATCAAACGCTTGCCAGCAGCCACTCTACTTGAAAACAATTCATCTTTCATTTCTATAATAATTTTCTAACTGTATCCTGCTGCCTTTTTCTGGTGCATGCGTCCGGTTGCAACTGTTGGATTGCGACTGTGGAAGCTGACATACAGCTCTGTTGGGGTGATGTTTTCAGGTCACAATGTTTGTCAATGGTGCCTTTGAGGCGAAGCAGGATCTGGCGACCTTCAAGGTTCATCTCCGGGACTTCCTGGTCCAGTCTAAGGCATTCTCATCGCAGGTGAGTTAAAGTTAAAGACAACTGCTTTACGCCCCGGCCCACATATGTAACCATAGGATGCGGGTGGGTCGTTGGGCTGTGTAACCGTTTGAACGCCATGAACGCGCGTTCACATTCAAATTTGTGTTTGGACGTAAAAAAATCGCTTTTGAACGGCGTTCTTTTTTCTTTTTTTTTAAGAGCCATCTCTCTCTCTCTCTCTCTCTCTCTCTCTCTCTCTCTCTCTCTCTCTCTCTCTCTCTCTCTCTCTCTCTCTCTCTCTCTCTCTCTCTCTCAAGAGGGGTATGGATCACAGTTTTGCTGCGGCATGCTTGGTGCATTAAGCGGCATTCGCAGTTCGCTTGTGCTGCTCCATTCCTCCGCTCGCCCGTGCATGCTGTGACTTGCTCAGGCAAACAGCCTCTGGCCTGCCCTGGGAGAGGGGAATGCTCGCTTGGAATATGCTAACGCTTATTTTTTGCGTTTTGTTATTGTGGTGTGGTGGGTGCTGTGCTTGGACTGCAGGATAACAAGGAGCTGTATGCAGAGGAGGCAGCTGCACAAAGGGAGGTGGAGAGACAGCGGATGCTCTCCATTCCTGGGCTGATTGCTCCCAACGAGCTGCAGGATGACATGACTGACCTATGATAATGGTTTTGGCACAACAGGTATCTTACTTGAGAATAGGATGGAGGATCTTCTTCCTCCTACTACATTTCATCGCATTCCTGATGTTGTGTGCTATCCTGGAGAGAGTAGCCAGGAGGGGCTATAGGCACCCCTTGTAGTATTCTCGAATACAGGATGTTTTCGTCATGTTTCTGTTAGGGCGAGGAAGCGCAACGAGTGTGGTCGTGATGTATGTCCCTTCAGGATTGTCCATCTTCCTGATGGCCATAGACAGTGCTACCCGTTGTGAGCGCCCTTGGCAGGAAGTGATGTTTTATCTATCAGAGCTTCATGGGTCGCTGGCGCAAACTGACGGGCATGGAGGATTTCAGCCGGTGGCCATGTTGTCTCATTGCCAGCATGTGTGCATGGTCTCTATGGGTGCATAGTATTTTTCAGAAAGAAGTCAAGTAAGGACTTGGACCCTTTCACATTTTTCTGTATTGTGCATACAGCTGTGTAGCTTACAGAGCAATTGGTGTAGAAGAATGTGTATTTTCCATTGATTTGAGGAAGGCAACCGGGATTAACCACCTCCCCCCCCTCATGACCGGGGGGGGGGGGGGGGTGTTGCAAGGACTGGACGGTTTGACTATGCACAATTTGACCGTGCCAAGTTTGGTGTGTGTACTCGTAGAGGGCTGAAGTTGGCTTGTTCCAGTTTGAAGAGTGGTGATCGTTTGCTGCAGCTGGAGTTTGGTCGAGGAGCACGAAGTGAAACCAAGCAGGGATAGGAGCGGGGCAGAAGCCACGGAGTAGTGAGAGATGAGAGAGAGAGACCGTATCATGTCCATTATGCTGGCGTAATGAAGACTGCGAAGTGAAAATGCGTAGAGTGAAAGGTAGGCCGCTATCGGTTCCTTTATTTTGTGGGTCTGGAGGGTCTGGAGCAGAATGTGTGTGGAGTAGGTAGGTAGGTAGAACAGTGTAGAGTGTAGATCGACTGACAATTTAGCTTGAAGAGGCACTAATTTTCTAATCGGATCGCCCAGCACTGTGTGAGTTGAGATGCTGGTGCGACAGTTTCCATCGCTAGACATGTCTCCTTTCTTTTGTGACGACATGAGCGAATCGGTAGATGGGTGATTCGTGATTGGGATTGCTGTCGACCCCCGTAACAGCCATGGGAGGAGAGGGTTATGCCGTCGTCTTGTGGAGGACCAAGGAATTGTAGTTGTTCGGCTTTGGGGGGGATGGCATCGAAAGAAGAAGAAGAGAGCACTTGTGCACAGAGGGACGGCTGGAATGGTGGTGGGTGTACAGGAGAGAGCACTGGCAAGGTCAGTGCAATGGGGCTCTAAAGGTTGAGCAGCATGGATGAAAAGGGGTCCAGAAGATGGAGCTTTGTGGCTTAAGCAAGAGTATGAAGAGAAGTCACTGTGAAGGGGTGTTATCATTGCAGTTCCTTGGGGCTGCCTCTCTGAAATGCTTTGATGTTGGAAATAATG